CCAAGTGATCACACTTAGTTACATCAGGTCAGTGACATGATATCGCAGGATAACAGGACAGTAGTCAGGGCCTCTAAGAGGGTGGCGAAGGGAGCATGCGTGATGAATGAATGGATGTGACGATGATTTATCTCCTGAGGTATGCGTGATTCATGAATTATTTGTTTTTTGTAGTGAAATTTCTGCCAATAATTGATTAAAAACGGCCTGAAAAAAGTTTGCCCATGGACTCCTTGGCGGTCCTTGGCGTCATAGGGACCTTACGCATATACGACGGTGACGGCGAGGACGAAGCCTAGTGAAAAAATGTGTTTCTATTCTACTTTGGAATTTCGCATTTATTTGGAACTATCCAGTGTGTCTGTCGGTGTTAAAACATGCCCCTGCTGAATATGCTACGAATGCGTTCAATTCCAAATACTGTAGAAATACGAAAAATTAGCCGTTGTGGTTCACGTTCTCCAGACAACGCAGAATTTGGTCATTTTGCGATGTTGTTTTGCAGAGGACGGTAAGAAATGTACCAAAGATTATAACGCAAGTGCACAGCCATTGTTTTGCTCATTAAACCTTTTGTTTCGTGATGTTCTCGTTGCCTGTTGCCGTCGTATTTTGCGTAAGGTCCCTAATGGCTGAGGTAAGAGCTTAGATTTATGTCCATTTATATTCGTGATCCGTGAAATTTTGTTTAAACTAAAGTGAGGCGCGAATTTTGTTAAAATTCGTGCCTAGAACGGGATCATGACCTCCCCCCTCCTTTGCAATCGTCTTCAGAAAAGTTTGGGTACGGTGATTGTCAGTTTAACAAATCGATTCCATGTTGTGGTGCGTCTGTTCACTAAGAGATCAGAGATGACGTCAAAATGTGGTAAAAACAAAAAAGTGGCACAAGAGGCGATAGCCGAGTGATCATGAGTCACTGATGTTCTTACCACATTTTGACGTCTTCTGTGATCTTTTAGGGAGCTTAAGCAAACCAGAACGATGGGTATGCACGTGCGTTTTAAATCTTTGTAAATTTCGTAGCCGTTCTCTGCAAAACAACGTAAAATGACAAAGTTCTGCGTATTTTGGAAAAAGTGAGCCACGACGGCAATTTTTTCATTTCCTTTTGGAAATGATCGCTGGCATTACATCTTTAATTTGAACAGCTTTTCAGACCGATTGGCGTACTGAGCAGATAAAGATGGTTACAAAATTTGAAGGTAAAATATAAAATTTGTATTGGGCGTTGCCGCGGAATTTACCTGTTTCATATGGTTATTGACCAAGCGTGAGGTCAAGATGGCTGGATATTGGCCAAGTTCTTTTTTTGCAAGTGCTTTTCTTGCGGGATACGGCGAGTAGTCCCGAGTGGGCAAGATTGCTCCATCTTGCCCGCTCGGGTAGCCAATCAAAGCGCAGGATTTGATTCATCTTGCCCACTCACAGAGCTAGCCATTTAATAAAATAAAGAAACATCCACATGTGTGACGTCATCTATGCGTCTGTCCTCCAAAAGATCATAAGTAAGAACCAATCAAAATGCGAGATTAATTTCACTTATTATATAAAATCTAAACGTGGCAAAAGTTCAATTGAGGCATTACACTACTGTAAAATGATATTAAAATCGATTAAACGATTTTTAAACGATTTTAATTTTTGGATTTTTAAATGATTTTAATATCATTTTACAGCAGTGCAAGGCCTCAATTGAACTTTTGCCACTTTCATTTAAAATGCTTTTGAAGGACAACATCCAACGATTATTTAAAGGTATTATGTAAAGATACAGCTCGTCAGTGACGTCACACAGAGCCATCGTCTTCTTCATATTTGTTTATATATTCTTATATGTACAAAATACTTCGATCACAAGAAAGATTGCAATGGCCAACTGCAATAAATTACAACAGGTCAAGAACACTGCTGAAGGAAAGTAAAACAGAAAAAAGTATTGTGTTGTATGATTATAAAGTATCCATGTACAAAACGCAGGTGTAGAAAATAGAAGAAATTATCACTCTTCTACATCAGAACAGAAGCTCAAAAGCAATTCCTTAACCCTACAATAAACTTCTAAATTGTTTCTCTTTACAATATCAACACATTGCCAAGATGACTGGTGACATGAATAAAGAAAATTGTCAACCAGAGGGTTGTTACTTTGATATACTACTTCCAATATTCTTCAAAACAAACATTTGAAGAAATGTGCGCTGTTTAGCAAGGAGAATTAATGTTTAAAAAAAGACAGTAGTAGTAAACTGACTAGAGCTCTAGAATTAATGTTCTTGTCAAGTGAAATAACACGAAAATTATATTTTAAGCGAGATCCAGATCAAAATGGACTTGATTTTAGTTTGTTATTTACAAACGTTAAATTAAATTATTTGCCTAATACACCATATGCCAGAGAGCCCTACATGTGTACCTTCTCTCAAGAGAAACTTTTCAGGGGGGACTCCAATATAAAAAGGACAGGGGTGCTTGTCGTACCTTTTAGGGGTTAAAAAAAGCAGTTTTGGTACCTCTTGAAGTGTTTAGCCTCAAAAGGTCCACAACGGGAGCTTTTGCAGTACCTTTTAGGGTACTGGGCTGAAAAAAAAATTCACAGGAGATAATGTTTTGTTTTAGGATTGGTACCCCCTTAGGGGTGAAAAAAACTTTCAAGCCACGCCCACGAAACAGGACCTTGGTACCTCTTAGGGGTTCTTTTCAAAATTTCCTACAAGCACTCCCAACTTTTTAAAGGGGAGTCCCCTCCTCCCGGAGTAATCCTCTATCAAAAGGTAGTGTTTGAGTTACCTAAGCCTTCGTTGGAAAATGACGCCAGGTGCTAAAATAGGTTAAACTCACATTCACTTCATGGTATGCCAACCAAACTCATTATTACATAAATGGTTTTGCCTTGGGACCCATTTTGAAAAAGAGGCATAAGGGCACTCAAAAATACTTATTGTTCTAACTACTACCCCTTTGAAAGCTAGCAAAATTTATTTTCAGTTTTTTGGTCAAAATGTTCTTGCAATGAAATGAATACAATCTGTCAATGGGTACAGATAAAAAAAATTAAACAGAAATGAAATCAAAAATTGAAAATAAAGCGATACAAAAAGCTTACTTCAGCAAATTGAAGTGAAACAGGTTAATGACTCATGCAGCAGTTAGACACCACTTTAAATGAATCAGTATAACACAGGTGGACTTTCGGAAAAAAAAAAGTATTGCTAGAGAATTATCAATCATTTAGCAAGAATGAATCACTGGGAAGCTCGTGGAATATGTCAAGAGAGGGATCCAAATGAGACAAAACTTCACTTTCAACTTCCTTTGATAGAATCCTGACTTTTGACACATTCCAAAAAAAAAAAAAAACAGAATTAGATTGTAATAGGCCCTTTGCACGATCCAGTCACATGGTACAAAATCACACATGCTGGTGCGCAAGTTGCACAGTGGGACTTCTGAAACAATGCAACTTGAACCAGTCCACCTGGACCTGCCTTTGTTTTGGAAGTCCCACTGCACAACTTGCGCACCAGCATGTGTGATTTGGTACCATGTGACCGGATTGTGCAAAGGGCCTATTGACCACTCAAGACAACGCACTTAAGATGAAGTACTTTCAAGGATATGCACGACTTGAAGATTTTTCCAGGTTTGTACAAGCCATTTGAAAATCATTCCTGCAAACCTAAACTAGTGCGTGACCAGTCACATTCTTGTCTGCAAAGCAATAGTCTTCATAAAAGGTAGAAAGCCCAAATTCCTCCCCTGGGAAAGAGGTGAAAATTTTGTCTAGAAAAAAAGTGTCATTAGTGATACCAAAACGTTTTTAACAAGCTAAATATATCTAACAAACCAATAGCTAAACCAAATACTCTTGTAATCCTAATAATATTTGTAGCTGAAACAATTCTCAGTAAAACTAACACAGTCTAGCAGACTGGGGATCTTTGTAGACAGTCAGGAATCATCCTCCATCAGATTTCCTGAGCTGCAACAAAGCTCCAAACAACACACTTCTTGGAGAGCTTGTGCATCCCACATCTTAGTTTGCTGTTAATCCATACCACTTCACTTCAATCATTTGTAAACTACATTCCAGTCAAAATATTTCCATCATTTCCGACATGATCTGTAACTACCAGATACCAACTATAAGCTGAATGTATATATATCACAAATCCACCAAGTATCCAAGCCACTTGACATATACTGCAGCCACAAGCACAAGCATGTGAATGTTTCAAACCATATTGGATAGGATGCTTGACATGCAACACCGTGGTACTGGTAAATCAGATCATTATGACGATGCCATGGCTCCAGGTAATGGAGATGCAATATCCAGGTTTGGAATGTCAAATAAATCACAGACACCTTCTGAATCGTCCAGGTTGAAGTAGTAATCATGCTCCCCAGGAGGAGGTGATAGTCGAAGAAGGGGTGCATACACTGTGAAAGAAAATAACAAAAGAGCAAGTGTTTTAACAACTCCTTAGATATACTAAGCTCACAAGCTTACATGGGGATGTTTTGGCACATGACTTGGTTCACCCAAGCTTACATCACAAATAGATTCCAGCCAAATTCACTTGAGAAAGGTGCTGTGACAGCGTCAAAAGCTTGTGATCGCTAAAACATTGACTCCACTTTGGTATCTTGTTTCCTATTATGTCCACTACAGAGTTGAAAAACAATATCTTTACTATTTAGATCTTTGTTTACTTTGAAGAGGGGAAAGACTCGACATTGAAAACAAATTACTGTACTTTCTTGATTAAATGGCCCCAGTATTTAGTCTGAACTTAGTTTGGTCAACCAGGACTTGGCTAATGTGAGCATACAGTTTTTCATTGTCAATAGTTGCCCTCACTCTTCAGCAGGATAGAGCAGTCATTCAGAAAAATTATACAGCACAAAAGATTATTAGTAACTCTGGGTGGCATGCCTGTCATTATAAGGGTTCTAACCCTGTAACACCTGGCTTGATGGGTCCTTGATGTTACTGCTGTTGATATGATTCAGCCACAGAGCAACACGATTGTTACTGGTGTACAGGTGTGTGTGTGTGTGTGTATTAATGCTGTTAATGGTATGAATGCATCCGAGATGCTTAGACTCAATTTTGTTTCATGGGAGAACAAGCAAATATATTGCGGGTACATTACAAACTCAGAACGTGAAAAGCTCCCAGTTGGCTTGACAGCTCAGTTGGTAGAGCACTGTACTGGTATTTGCAGAGGTCATGGGTTGGAATGCCGTTCAAGTCTGAATCTTTTTTTCAGGCTTTAATTTCACGGCTGCTTAAGTTGCGTTTAACATTGTGATGATCAGTCGTGTCCTCATATAATTATAGCTTAAAATTCAAACGCTTGCTGAGTAATCTTACCTTCTGCTGACATAAACTCATCCATAACTTCTTCTGCAATACTTGTTTCTGAGTTTACAAAGGAGAATAGCAGTTATCTTACTAGCTCTAATAGTGTCTAGATCAAAAGAACAAACACTTCTATCTTTTTTACTGCTTCTTGTTTGTTTTGCCCAGTTGAGACAAGAACATCAATCACGTTTGGGAAATTTCTCCTTGTACTTGAAGTCACATCTATTATTAGCCAGTTTACAAATTTTTGCATAGTCTGAGGGATGCCACATCAGAAACGCACCATGAAAGGAGCCACAATGAATGTTGCTTCAAGCTAAACAGTTTAAATTAAAAAAAAAAAACTAAAACAAAACAAAATAATAGCACTTGTACCTTTGAGACTATTTCCAAATATAATATCATTAGCAACTTCTTTAAGCTCATTGGCTGAGAAAATAAAATCAAATCAAAACTGTAAACTTTTGAAATTCACGTCATAAGACTGGAGGTTGATAAGAACAAAAAAGAAGGATAAACAATAAGTCCACCAAAAGCCTCGGCACACGTCTCTAGGTCCATTGTGATGGACTACATCTGCACAAGGTGTTTATTACTAATCACCCTTTCACAGCTTGCATGGTTATGATATTTCAAGCAAAAAGTGTGTACATTAATGGGAAAACCATTTTACCAAAGAGCACAAATAGAAAATAAACATATTTTATGTTTGTTTTTTAGACAGCTGATGATAAGTAGCAGTGTGGAAACTGGCATTGAGAACTTATGTAAGGTTTTTTTTTTTAGCAGGCATCAAATTTTAGTAACATAAAGATATAAAGATTTCAATGCTGGTACATTAAATTTTCACTGCTGGTTCATTGATGACTAAACAACTAAAAATTGTATGACAAACTACCTCTACTACTCTCTAACACTTCAGTCTTCACAGCTCCAACTTTAGAATTGACATCATTAGCATGTTTAGAAGTGGCACTGATTTCCATAGGTTCGTCACCCCCCTTAATTGCTGTATGGTTGTTGACATCATTAGTCGGTGGAGGCACAGGAGTTACAACAGGACTGTTTGCAGCAGCGTCCTTGTTTACCAGAAGCACATGGATGGGACCACTCTGACTTTTCAAATGGATCTGGTATTTCTTTTGTTGTTGAATTGGACTTGGTGTCTGGAGAGAAAAGAATGGAAATTTAATTGAAAAACAAGAAAAAAGAGTGGTGAGTACCTTAAAGAGGTAGAGTAAAAGTACAGAAATGTAAAAGCATAAAAACAAACTTTTTGAAACCCGTGGAACTGTGTTAATAAATGTACCACTAGCTTTGGGTGATAGACACCCGGGGTAGGGTACTCCCAGAAAAATTGGGTGGGTGTGTGCGGCCTGCTTCCCAAAACCCTTACCCTATTTATGACCAGAATCTGCAATTTTCCCTACCCTATTAATGACCTGACAAAAAAAATTGGATTCCCTACTTATGACCGTTGTGGCTGGCACAGTTTCCCTAAACATTCCTGAGCCTCACAGTCGTGTGAAAAATCTGGAAACATAAGCACAAGGTTAAGGATTTACAAAGTCTGTAAAGTTGTGGCAGAGTTGTCATGAATGTTTTGTTCAAAGTAGACAACAGATTGTGCCATCTTTTTCCAAAGAATCAGGAGAGTAGCCAAACAGAGCTGAGACCCTAGCCAAGATCATAAAACAGTTGACGATTTNGGGTACTCCCAGAAAAATTGGGTGGGGGTGTGTGGCCTGCTTCCCAAAACCCTTACCCTATTTATGACCAAAATCTGCAATTTTCCCTACCCTATTAATGACCTGACAAAAAAAATTGGATTCCCTATTTATGACCGTTGTGGCTGGCACAGTTTCCCTAAACATTCCTGAGCCTCACAGTCATGTGAAAAATCTGGAAACGTAAGCACAAGGTTAAGGATTTACAAAGTCTGTAAAGTTGTGGCAGAGTTGTCACGAATGTTTTGTTCAAAGTAGACAACAGATTGTGCCATCTTTTTCCAAAGAATCAGGAGAGTAGCCAAACAGAGCTGAGACCCTAGCCAAGATCATAAAACAGTTGACGATTTTTACCACTAGCCAGCTACATTTCACAACCTGTGTGGTAGTAGAAAAGGGATTCTTAAAATAATAAAATGACTAACTAAGCATTTGTTTGGGCCTAAGAGAGTGATAGTAATAAAAGGCATGTATTATTTTATTTTTCTGGGGTGAATATGAGGTATTGTTTCACTGTACATCTAAGCAGAGCAAGCATTGACAAAGGAAGGTTTTACACTTGTGACTGAGTTTTCAAATGAGCAGAAAAAGCTCAAAGATCCATGCAAAAAGCACAGCCTGCAAACCTTTTTTATAAGGATTAGATGATTCTTCAAATGGCAGTTTGCTATCAACTCTAGATCCTAAATTCTAACTTAAATAGCTTGTGTTAGCATACCATAATATTTATTATTGTAAACCAGCTCTAAACTTACTGTATCTGGAATTGGTACTTCAAGCTGCGTTCCAGATGGCGCTTGAACAACCAACAAGGTGTCTCCTCTAAAACTGTGGCATACATCTTCGTATGTGACATAAGCTAGCTGTTCATTCTCTGGATCTTCGGAAACGTTCTTAAGACTCTGCTGAACCCACAATCTTTGTTCGTCTAGTTCTCTTTCTTTGTCTTCTAATGTTTCTAGCTCTCCCTTTAAATGTACAAGTTTGTCTGATATCTCTCTAGTGTTACAGCCTGGTCCCGCTCCCCTGAAAAACAAGAATCACAGAGATAAATAACAATTACTGGCAAACTAGACTACGAGTAGTCCCTCTTTTGCTTAGTCCGTCGTGAGTGA